TTCGACTAATATACACATACACACACTAAATGCCTTTCATGTGTAGCTTATACATTAGATCAGTTTCAAGAGATAAAACTATATTTTGAAATAACGATGAGTCAGTATTTTCACAAGAGATAAATAATTTATGACAATTTTGTGTATGTGCCTTTTGTCGCGCAGGATTAATACGATTAATGATAAAAAGGTACCACTCATGATCACGATGATAATACTCGATCTTCAATGCTGCGATGGATAATCTGTTTTCCCTCGCAACTACCTCCACCGCTTTTAATATAATGCTTTGTATGAATTGATCGCGCTTTGCTTGATCATTTGCTTTGTGAAATGGGATTATTTAGAAAAGCGCGATCTTGAAGTGTTAAAGTGATATTTAAATTGTTTAGTATGTATAATCTTGATGCCTGTTGGCAAAATTATTGTTCATGTAAAGCTGTGTGAAAAATAAAACATATTTTTCTATCACGTTCGCCTTCCGATTGTTTCTTTGATTTTTTATTTACATGTGCACCTTACTTTTAATTTCAACTCTTAAAAATAACAAAGTTGTAAGTAAAAAATGAGTGTAGCAACAAAATAGGAAATTATCAATGCCACAAACTTAGCATATAGTAGTATACGAGTAATATTGTATTGAAGTATTACAGTATTATACGAAGATTACCTGTGCGACACAAATTGAGCAGCTAGCCGAACTTTACTGCAGTTTTTATGCCATCTAGCGGTAAAAATCTACAACAAACCGTTGCTGATGAAACACGTGTTATCATCATGAAGTATAAGACTTATTTAACAGGAACAGTGTTTACTTCAAAAGTGAGTTGGATGTTATTATCCTTCAACTTACTCGTATACGTTTAATTTTTCTGATGGGTCACGTAACTTGACAAGAAAGTGAAGCTTCACGAAGTAGTGTGCATCGAAATGATCGAGTTGTGTACGAAAAAACGAATGTTAATTGCCATCACACTATTAGGAGGGTTAGTTTATCAATTCTTATAGCTCTTTTTAACAGCTTCTCGCACGAAATGATTAACGATATTAAAACCCTGTAAAGTGCTAATAGAATATTACACTTATACTTTTGTTGCAGGTTAACAGTTTTAGTGCTAATTGTTGAGAGCCATTGGACAGATAACCCTAATAAACTTTACTTGGAAAATTATGAAAATAGTACAACATGTTTGTCCGGCGACGACTACGAGATAACCTCAGAATGTCATCCTTGTTCTGCTTTTGAATTAGCAAGTAAAAGCATTGATGTCTGTGTTCATGCAAGGTACAAGGAAGTTTTGAAATGTAAAAGTGGCGAAACAATAACAAGAAGGTAAATAATTGAGTTTAATTATTTTAAAATATTATTCTGAGAATAGGTCTCTGAAATTTGTAATTTTATCGATGTGTAATCTTCAGTTGTGACAGGGTAGCTTGGTTGGAAGAAAGAGCATTTTGGAAATTTGAAGCATTCATGTTTGCTTTGGCCTTTAGTTCTTGTTTGAGTATTTATTGGAGAGAAAATGTTCTCAGGCAAAGGATTATAAGGAAAGTGGCAAGGCAATTAAGGGCTAGTGTATAGATAGTTTCAAACAATTTATTCTTTTATCAACACCTTCATGGTTCTATAGGCAACTGGAGAAAATGGATGAAATCTATTTGGAAGTATACTCTTTAACACAATTGTGTCTTGCACCTATAGAGACTATAGTGGCTTTATTTACTGTAAAATATTGCAATTCTAAAATTAGCATTAAACTGGTCCCTAGTAAACAGAAGCCTCTTGAACGAGCATACACAATAGATATTTCCACTTTTGTGTACACAGTGATGGATGCAAATAAAATTCCTAGCTCTGCAAGTTCATGTGAATTACCGATCATTATCGTGAACAAGACAAGCTGTATTGCAGGTCTCTGCGCGATTTTACGCCAAATAGTTAAGGATGTGACGGCAGAATATCCAGAACATCATTGTCGCAAGTTATTAGGATTTAAAGACTCGTGCTTGACAGCTTGCTCGGAGGCAAGTGTCTGGACGAAATTCTGCGAGGTAGATTTGATCTTAACTTTAAAATTTTTACATGCTGATGATGCGATATGCAACGAATTGCCTTCTAGCATGGCCAAATTCGAGTACCACATGCTGCAACCGGTTAGATTGCACAATCTGTACAAGTATACAATGTCTAAAAAGTTTGCCGAGGAGAATGGAATTTCGCGGGACAAGACGCGGATTCCGGAGCACACGTATGCTGAAGGCTCATACATCACTCTAGCAGATATAATTATATTTGTTTGCGTGCATATCTTGTTAACTATATTCTCCGGCGAGTCGATACCGGAATTACTTCCACTGACCGTTAAATGGTATGAAAAAATGATGGAGGATCAATTCATTGTCGACAGTTTAGAGTGTTTACCATCGGTAAAAAAGCAAACTTCGAACGAACATAGTTACACTCTTCCTAAAGTGGCAAACGAAAGTCTGTACAAGAGCGACCCGAAACGATATAAACCGAGAAGCCGTATCTACACGAGGCAAGATGATGTGGAGCAGTCATTGGAATTATTTAAAAATTTGAATATAGAGATGAGGCTTGATCTGGAACCGTTTGGCGCCGATTTAAGTATAGATTGGTCCACGGTACCATTTGACGCTACCCCGGAAGGTGGTTCCCTGCCACCAGCGCGACTGAAAAGAAAACAGGAACAGTTGGAGAACATGTGCAAACCTGTAATGAAATTGGCGAAAGCAGGAGACGTGATCGTGGACTTCTGTTCCGGCAGCGGCCATTTGGGTATTCTATTAGCATACCTTTTGCCTTATTGTACCGTTATATTGCTGGAAAACAAAGAGGAATCGTTGAACAGAGCCAAGGTGAGGGTGAAGAAACTACGCTTGGCGAATATCAAATTTTACCAATGCAATCTAGATTATTTTAAAGGTGACTTTGACATCGGTCTGTCGTTGCATGCGTGCGGCGTCGCGACCGATTTGGTTATACAGCAGTGCATCAGGAGAAGAGCCAGTTTCGTCTGTTGCCCTTGTTGCTACGGATCCCTGCATGACTGCCACCACTTGACCTATCCAAGGAGTAACGCTTTCAGGAAGGATATGAATCGGGAGAATTACATGGTACTTAGCCACGCAGCGGATCAAACGCATGATGAGAAAAACGTTAAGACCAAGCAGGGTTACGAATGTATGGCGATCGTGGACACCGACAGGAAGATTCTAGCCGAGCAGTTCGGTTATAAGGTGTATCTGTCCAAGTTCATACCAAAGACTTGTACTCCCAAAAATCACATATTGGTAGGGATCCCTAGAAAAGAAACGTTAAAGACAGAGTGTGTAGATTAATTGTGCTGCATTTGGAAAGATACCTGAAGAGTGTGTCTCGAAACTCATACTCAAGATTTGTATACTTAAATATCACGCATTCGAACGAATCACATGAATTGTTTGTATCGTCTTTCTACGACTTTTCTGTTTTGTATCATTTCGTGTATTAGACTGCAGATGTTCATGCACTCATGTAATTGAATATCCAAAATAAAGAACAGAATTCTTTGGTAAATAGAAAAATCTCTTCAATTCTTTTTATCTTATTTCACGACAACTTTAAATGTACGTAAACTATGAATGCGTAAAGATCCGCAGTCTGTACTGAACGTTTTAAGCGTAAAAATAAATTGGATACTATTCTTGTTAAATGAATGAACAAAATTTTGCAAATAAAACTCACTTACCCAAACAGAGGGAAGACGTTGTTTTCTTTTTGTTCAGTTGCAGCAACCCAATCCATTGACAAAATCGTGTAATTATTATTGCGCTAGTTTTATTAATAATTGTACGAAGAGCCTTTTGTTTTTATTGGTATGTACAAAAAAAGGGAAAAAGAATTATTGAAGTATACAAATGATTAGTGTTTACGTCGGTGTCTTACACAGTTTCGTCTATTATTAAGTAGCTAAGGGACAACAAACATGTAAACGAAAGAGGTCCACGTAATAATGTCAAGGAACTAGGGGGATATTCAACTTTTTCTCGCTATTAACCACTACAAAGCGCGCTGAGTACATACTTCCTTCAGACAATATATTGAAATTTAAATATCCTTTCTGCCTTTATTTCTTTTTTCTTCATATCATTTTCCTCTCTTCTTCTTTCTTTCTTTCTTTCTTTTTTTTGTCGTTTTCATCGTTTTCGTTTCATTTAACACTTTCAACAC